GCATCATAATACAAATGTTTTGCACAAATAAAAACAACTCTGCCAAAAAGTTAAATTTAAAATATATCCAGCATGTAAAATGAATGAGAAATGCTTAAGAGTGTGTTCAGAATTTTTGCTTTGCAGGTGGAAATTGGTTCTTAATGTGTGTACTTCATCCCACTTTGGGTTTGGTCCACATTTTAATAGGCCCTCATCTGTATGAAATTTGCCTGGGGAGCAGATTCTAGTCATTATACGTATTTATATTCATGAACTGCATAGGTATCAGAAGTAAAGTAAACCATGTGAAAATTATTCAGGGATCTTACAAGTTTAAGGCCAGGAAATCATTAGGCTTTATTACTTAAAGCAGCCCAATAAATTCTGCCACATTTTTCAGACTTTAAACTTGGGGCTTGTTGCTTATAGTGTGTTTAAGGTAAAAATCACTTTTAGAACTCAAGACTCCAGAGTACTGATGTAAGCAATCCTTGAGCAGGACAAGGTAGTACAAATGAAATACTTCTGACTGTGGTTCTTGAATGCTAAGAAAGCTCTAAGACGTTCCCAAATCCCCAAGTTGTTGGGCTATTCTCTGTTTGCCATTTAAGTGTATCTTCTCTGGCCTGGTGGGAATACTGAGCTTCCCCAGGCCCTATACATGACGCAGGATGCATAGCTGAATCTTGACCGATTGAATCCTCCTACTAAAGACTTCAACTCTCCTGCAAGTTATTGAAACAGGAAGCAGTTAGAATCTTTGTAGATTTTATTTTTTGTGCCAGTATTAGAGCTTGAACTGAGGGCCTCACACTCTTGTTTTGCTTTTTCCACTGACGCTGCCTTTTTCTGCTGCCTGACACTCACCACTTGAGCCATGCTTCTACTTTTTAACTTTTTTAGTATATATTTTTTATTGTAAAGATACAGTACAGAGGGGTTACAGTTACATGAGCAAGGTAATGAGCCCATTTCCTATCAAGTATTGTTATACCCTCCTTTATATTTCCCCTACCATCTCTTTTCTCCCCACCTCCCCAACTCCTCCCTCTCCTCCCCTCCCCCAGCAAAGTTGTAAAGTTCATTTTCAACATACTGTCTTGTACATCTCATTGTTGCAGTGGGTCATCCTATATCCTTATTTCAGAATTTTGTTATTTCCCTTCCCCTCCCCAAATTAGAAAAATGTATATACAAGATGCAGGGCACCAGAATCAAATACAGTGACAACAGGGGTTGTACCATGGGGGAAGACCATACAAAAGAAACAAAAAAATCACATAGTACATTATAAGTACATTAAAAAGAACAGCAACAAAGATAAAACCTCTTGTGTCCCTATCTTGGTATTCATTTCGCTTAGCATCAGGTTATATGGTCATATGTACATAGCTTTTGACCTCTTCTGCTTGTCCTAGGCATATACTAGTTATTGCAGATAAGAGAAACCATGGGACCTATGTTTCTTTGAGTCTGGCTTACTTCACTTAATAGAATTTTTTCCAAATCTTTCCATTTCCTAACAAATGTCATTCTTTCTGATAGAAAAAAATCTACTGTATATACTGAGTTCTCAAAACATTAATAATTTTCATTATGAAGAAAATTCATAACCATTCCTAAGTACTGGTGGTTCATATCCATAATCCTAGCTACTCAGGAAGTTGAGATCTGAGGATCACAGTTCAAAGCTAGCCTGGGTAGGAATGTTCAGTAGATGCTTATCTAATTAACCACTAGAAAGACAGAAATGGATCTGTGACTAAGTGGTAGAATACCAGACTTGAACAAAAGCCCTAGGACACACACACACACACACACACACACACACAAAGTAATAACTTTCATAGTTAAAAACAAACATATAATTGGGTTAAGGATGTGGCTCAATGGTAGAACACTTGCCAATCATGAAATCATGCAGGAGGACCTGTGTTCAGTCCCTATCACCACCTAAGATAAAAAGAAAGTAATCTATGTTTAATGTTTAAATGTTCATCAATATAGATAAGTGAAAAAGAAAACTTTCAGTCAATATTTTTCTAATATTTTGGTGACTTTGAAGATATGTATGTTCCTATATGCGTGTAAGGACATATGTGTAAGCTTGCATTAGAATCACAAGGAAAGATGTACCAACAAGCAAATATATTTCCTCTAAAGACAAACACACATAACACACACACATATATATTTTACCAAATGTATATTTTAGCATTTTTCATTAAACAGTTTTATGTCTGCTCTGCTCCAGCTTGATTCTTGGGTTGTGTTGTGTCACCTTAACACCATTAACTCTAGAGGCTCTGCAGAGTATACAACACTACTGAGTATTCAAAGTATTAGTAAAAAGGAGACTTAGAATCAGGAGGTGAATGATGATTGTGAAGAAGAGAAGTAGTAAGATTATGGCACATATACACAAGTGGCAAAAATACATCACAGTACAAAGACGACTACTAAGTTTACAATAGGTGTGTTTATGACAGAAAGGGATCCAAGGGGTTGCCAGCACTATATAAAAAGAACAGAAAAGAAAGGAGAAGAGAAGAGAAGAAAGAAGACAAGAGAGAAAGGGAGAGGGAGAGGAAGTGGTTGTTTCATTTTGAGGCACAGTCAGGCAGGATGAGATAGGAGGACATCTGAAGATGAGGAGATTTGTGTATCTTCCTATCTCCTGTGGCCTGAGCAGGCTCCAGGCCTGGAAGAGGGGGACACTCTAGATCATTTTGAGGGACCTTTCTGTAAGTCTGCTAGTGGATATCAAGGAAACAAATACTAGGTTTTCCAGAGGTGAGTTCTGGAAAGAAAGAGAACTAATACTTAATACAGCAGGTCTGTGATGTGGGCTTACTTCTGACTTGTACTTTGGGCACTTTGGGATGTAGCTAAAGAAGTTTGATTCATAAGTCTCTACATCCCTTTACACAGCTGGTGTGCTCCAAAGAGGCTTACAGCACGGCTCAGTCTTGTCTGCTGGACTTCTTTTCCCCAGGCTTCTGGATTTTGCCTCCTGAGAAGCAGAACTTTGGATGACTGTTACTTCCAAATTTCCCTGAGCACTGACAGGGAGATCTGATGGCACTGCATATTGGAAAGGAGGCCATAGGTGATGCCTATTATAGGTTGAATATACCAAATCCAGAAGTTGAAAAATCTGAAAACTTTGGAGGGATGAAATGTCATGATACTGTAGTGGAAAATTACATATCTGACCTTATGTGAGAGATTGCAGTAATACCAATAATAAAATCATCATCAGGCGAAACAGATAAGGTATATATGAACCACAAATGAATTTTTCATTTTTAATATCATGGGTTTCTTCCAAGACATATATTATATAAATATTATTAAATATATATTTGTATGAAAATATATCGAGAGAGAAATATTGTATACAAATGTGAATATTTCCAATTTACACACCAATCCTAAATACTTCCAGTCCCTAGCATTTTGTATGCAGGATACTTGACCTATACCAATGAACTGAGGAAATGGCCATCTGTCCTGTGCATCCTGACAGTGCCAGGCAGTGAGGTGCTCTGCCCACTCTTGTCCATGCCAAAAAATGAGAGCTGATCCATTCCACCACACGGCCAACATGCAAGCTTAGGGCTCAAGGCAGGCAGTTTTTAGTTCAAGCATGCTTACAATGTGTGACCTCTGAGCAAGGAAGTTAAAATGCGAATGCTCCATCTCATGGATAGCTAGATTTGAATTTTGAATGTGACAGTGAGAAAGTTCGTTGTATCAAAGCAATTCCCTAAGTGACTGTTTTTCTTACGACTTATGAACTGAGATTTGGGGGGATGGGGAGAAGCCATCTGCTCCTGAATGGTCTTCCAATGACTGAAGCAATGACTGCAGAGCAAACTGGAAGGGCGCCAGCAGAGCATTCCTGTCTGCTGTATCTAGCCCCACCCCATGGCCTCGGCCCTAGCATTTACTGAAGACTGTGCTTTGTTGCCCGGCCTTGCATGGTAGGTGCATACAGTTGAGTGAGATGAGAGCAGAGTCTGTGTAACCTCCTATCTCACCAATGAGCCACTCCAGAAAATGGAACTATCTTGAATTTGAACTCAAAAATAAACTTTATAAAAAATGTGGTACCTATATACTATGGAATTTTACACAGCCATTAGAAAGAATAAAATAATGTCATTTGCAGGGAAATGGATGAAATAAGAACAAATCATGTTAAGCAAGGTAAGCCAAGATCAGAGAGACAAACAGCACATGTCTCTGATATGCAGAAGTCAGATCTAAAACACACTGGGATATGACAAATTACCCAGGGTTCTAGATACTTACATACAGTGAGGCCAAAGGAGGATAGTCTTAGGAGAGAATTACAAAAGTGCAATGCCTAAGCCCCTCTTCATATTTATCTAAAATAATATATATACTGAAATGAACTCCTAAGATACGGGAACAAAAGACTGTTTTTAATTTTTTTCTTTTTCGGGTGATTCTGTGTTCTTTAACTTATATAAGATGTGGTCATGTGTGTGTCTTCAGAAATGTGGGGGAAGGGCACAGACCTTGAGGAACCAGTGCAGCAGTGGAGCGCACCGGACATCGATAAACGTGAATTGTACAAACGAGACAGCAGGGAAAGAAAGGGAGGGAATGAGGAAACAGATGGCACTGTGCAAAAGGAAATGTACTCATTACCAGACTCATGCAACTGCAGCTCCTCTGTACATTACCTCTATAACAACAATACATTCATATGTTTTTAAAACAGAACTTCAAAAAAGCTTAGTGTCTCCCTTCTCCCTTCAGTCCCATGCACCTTTGCTTACAAAACTTATCCTATCTGATGAAAAAATTGAAAATTAAGTATATGAATTTTCTTTGCTCATTCACTATTGGTGTTGAAATTCCAAAATGTATTTCTCTTAAAATATGAATTTTCTTGTCTTTGAACGATGGCCTGCCTCAATTTGCAAAACATCCTTGAGACTTATTTTGTCCTCTAAATGTGTGTGTGGCTTTTTCTTTCTATTTAGGCATTCATGCAGCCTCACTTACTGGGAAATGAGTTCACACATTTGGAGTTTCCAAGGCGAGTACAGAGAAAGGAGCTTGGAAAGAAGATGCTCTACAGGGACTTTAATATGACAGGCTGGTAAGAGCATGCCACCCGGGCACCACCTCAGAAAGAGAGAGACAGAGAGAGAGAGAGAGAGAGAGAGAGAGTGTGTGTGTGTGTGTGTGTGTGTGTGAGTGATCACCATTATCAAAAGTGACTCACATTGTTGGGGCCAAGAGGTGATACAGCCTACATTTGTAAAGAACAAGGCCTTACATCTACCTACTCCTGTTCTCCTGTTCTTGCTTAGGACTAGTGCTCAGATCCCAAGCTTTGTTATCCCCATGAAGCTGACTTACTTCTTCATTTTTGTATGGAGCCATCATTTGGAAACTTTCAAAACACATTAAGTTTTTATGGTTATAAACCAGGGATATAGCGCTGACCCCCCCCCAAATTATAAACCAGGTATAGAAGGGCTTTGATTGGTCATTACAAGCCTATGCCTGTAATCTCAGCACCTAGTAGACTGAGGCACAAAAATGGAGACTTTGAGGCTAGCCTGAGCTACATTATGAATTCAAAGTCAGCTCAAGCTACACAGCAAGACTTTTCCTTTAAAAAAAAAAGAAAGAAAGAAAGAAAGAAAGAAAGAAAGAAAGAAAGAAAGAAAGAAAGAAAGAAAGAAAGAAAGAAAATAGAGTAGCCAAAGGGTATTTGCCACAGGCTTCTTGACCTAGATTGACATGGATGTGATTCCCAACTGATTTTCTAAATGAGCCAAGTTGAATAAATACTTAACCCCTATTATTATATGGATAAAGTGAAAAGAGAAACAAAAAAGACTGAAACATTGTTGTGGAGACTGGAAGTAATGAGTTAGCTTCATTCCTAGCAGCCTTTGGTGTCTGGAAAAGATTAGTTCCAGGATTCTCTATAGAAACGAACATTTGAAGATGTGCAATCCCCCATAAGTAAAATAGCATGTATTTATTATATATAGCATATGCTATATAGATTGTCTCTAAATTGTTGAAAATACCCAACACATGTAAATGCTCTATAAGAAGTTGTCATACTATTTCATTTAGGGAATAAGAAAATGATATGGACATATCTACTGCAGATACTTAAAAAAAAATCCACCCAAAATTGTCTTGAATCCAAATTCTTACTTAACAAGGTATATCTTATTCCTAAAACACACCTGTATGCCTACCAGAACTGTTGACTAAGACCACATCTGTTTGTTCCACCTGAATAAGATACAGTGAGAGACTGAAGCAGTTGGTGGCAAATGCTTGTCACCAAGTGCTTCCACAATAGAGGGCTAGTGTAGGAAGTGAGAATTTCCTCTTATGCCTTGGATGCTAATAAGTGAACCTCATACCTGTTTAACACAACTTCCCCTTTCCTTACTCTGTCCCCAACAAAAGCTAAGAAGTAGTTTTCATGATACTTCTCTATTGACTGAAATACTTAATAATGGAGGATGACAACTGGGATTCCCATGTTAACTTCTTGGGCACATGTTGTCACAAAGGAACAAGTTGCACTGCCCAGGGAAGAAAAGAGGCTGACCCCTTAGGGGCTTGTGCTTGTCCTTTCCCAACTGCCAAAGATCCTCACCCAGATCCACTCTTCTTCCTCTAGCATGAAGTCAGCACACTATAGCTGGAGAGCCAAAGCCTACCCACCACCTGTTTTTACAAATAATTCTCTTTTAAAAAAAATTACAGCTACATGTGTTTGTTTACATTTAATCTATGACTACCTTCACAGTGCAACCAGGCAGTTAAATAGCTGTAACAAAGTCCATAAAGCCCACACAAACTCTAATATTTGCCCTGCTCTAAAACATGAATGGATTTGTCATGAAGAGCTCATGATCTTTGAACCAACCTCTGAGTTGTTTTTTTTTTAAGAAGGTAAACTTTTATTAAGCCAAAGTTTGTAAGAGAAACTGAAAAGAAATTTCACACTTCAATAATATTTCCAGTTCGTCATTAAATGCAAAGTCACTATATTCCCTCACCATTCTCAGCAATGTGTATAAAAATGTTGGTGTTCAATTAATGTTTATTTTTTAATTTTTTTGTTGCTGTTTTTATTTTTTATTTTTTATTTATTTTTATTGTGAAAATACTGTACAGAGGGGTTAAAATTACATGGGCA